GAAAAATACACACTTGTCTTGGAGAAAATAAAATAGACTAAAATAAAGATAGGAAGGGACGCCAAGACCTGCGGACGCCTGCAGGAGTACCTTGGGTCTACTGAGTGCAGTGAAAGCAACCAACCTCTCGATCAGCCACTAGCTCCGAAATCTGTACAGAAAGTGCAGCGTGCAGTATCAGTACAACCGACCCTATGTACTGGTAAGTGCCGAGCCTAACCTCGACGAAAGTGACGAGGCTACGGCGAGGCATAACAACATATACAACCTGCAACAGTTTATATTAAAATAGAAAGGAAATACAGAATGAAACAAAGCAGTATCTTGCATTAAATAAGTACAGAAACCGGTCGTTCTACCAATACTCAGCTATAACCAATCCTTAAGGGAGTTTCAACACCACAATAATGAACCTCAGCAGAATATGAATACATAAACAACAAATGATGCGGCGCGCATCCCGGTCCCACCATAAAATAAATAACAGTATAATCATTCACCCTTATTACTCCTTGTTGCGGCGTGCAACCCGATCCCACCAGTCCACCCTTATTACACCTCAATATATCACGCTTATTCCTCCTGTTGCAGCGTGAAACCCGATCTCACATGTCCGCCCTTATTACTCCTTGTTGCGGCATGCAACCCCATCCCACTAGACAATCACATTCACCCTTATTCCTCCTGTTACGGTGTGCAACCCGATCCCCACAACACTTATACCTCAAACCAACACATTGGAATATCACTATAATTATGAAACTTCACCAATTTAAACTACACAATGAGAACAACCTAAGTGTACCATGAAGCACTAATAAACCAACAGTGTAATATAATGGAACAAAGGAACAATTAACAACGCCAATAGAGAAACAACATTAAACAAGAAGCAATTAGACATGGAAGCAGCAATAAGCAAGTAGCAAGTAAAACAGGAGAGCAAAATATGGGGAAACGGGCCAAGGGAACAAGCTAAACAAGTAATTTGGCGACGCATAGGTGCTCGTCACCACACCTATACGCCACACACATGGTATTTCACATAGCAAGCAAGTCGGGAGTCCCTAATCCCTCAAGTCAAGGTTAGACCAAACACTTACCTCAAGCCAACGGGTATTTCAAAGCTCAATCACCGCTTTACCTCTCGATTACACCACCAATCCACTCTTATCTAGCCATATTTAACTTTATAGCATCAATAAATGCTAAAGTAATCAATTCCAATACATAATTATAGATTTCCCAATATTTTTCCAAAAAAGTCAAAAATCGACCCCGGGCCTGCTTGGACAAAACTCGAAGTTCGAACCAAAATCCGATTACCCATTCACCCCCTAGCCCGGATATACAATTGACTTTGGAATCCGACCTTAAATTGAGGTCCAAATCCCCAAATTTTGAAATTCCTAAATTCTACCCAAAACACCTAATTTCCCCATGAAAAACCCTGGATTTTGTGATGAAATCTTGTAAAAAGATTAAATAGATTGAAGGAAATGAGTTAGAAATCGTTTACCAATGATTTGGGGAAGAACTACTCTTTAGAAAATCGCCTCTTGAAGCTTAGAGTATGAAAATTTAAGAAATGGGTTGAAATTCCCGTCTAAGTTATGTTTTGAACAGTTGCAGGTATTGCATTTGCGGTCACAGGTTCGCAAACGCGAGCTCGCAAATGCGAAGCTTGGCCTGGCCTGCTGTCTTCGCAAATGCGAACAATTATTCGCAAATGTGGCCACTGTTCAAGTCGCAATTGCGACAATGAACTTCGCAAATACGAAGGTCCCCTTCCCAGCCCTTTAATCGCAAATGCGAAGAAACTTCGCAAATGCGAAGTCTGCAGATCTGCAACATACGAGAAAATTTCCGTAAGGCTCAAAACACTTTGTAGCCTATCCAAAACTCACACGAGCCTTCGGGGCTCCAAAACAAAAATGCACACAAGTCTTAAAACATCATATGAACTTGCTTGCGCGATCAAATCGCCAAAATAACATCTAGAACTATGAATTCAACACCAAAACTCATGAAATTTTCAAGATAGTTTCAAACTTCCTATTTTCTCAACCAATGGTCTGAATTACGTCAAATCACTTCCGTTTTTCATCAAATTTCACAGATAAAGTTTAAATATTATAATGCACCTATATCGGGCTCCAGAACTAAAATACGGGCCCAATACCAACAATATCAAACATTAATCGAATTTCCAAAAACCATTACATTTTCAGTTAACAATTTTCTTCAAAAACTCATTTTTCGGGCTAGGGACCTCGGAATCCAATTCCGGGCATACCCAAGTCCAATATTTTACTACGGACCCTCCGGGACCGTTGGAATACGGGTCCGGATTCGTTTACCCAAAATGTTGACCGAAGTCACTAAAATCATCTTTTTAAGCCAAAAATCATCTTCTCTTAAATTTTTCACATAAAAGCTTACCGGATACGCGCCCGGACTGCGCACGCTAATTGAGAAAAAATAAATGGAGGTTTTTAAGGCCTCGAAACGCGGAATCAGATTTTAAAACAAAAAGATGACCCTTTGGGTCATCACAATATAATGCATACAAATTCATTAATCAGTTGTTTTTTTTTTGTTGATTTCTTTCTATTTACCTAACTTTGGTAGACATAGTTATTGGGCTCATGCGCTAGCACATAAATAAAAGGGAAAGTTACACAAATTTCCCAAATAAGTCTCAACTTACCTACCTCTAGCCATTAGTCATAGACTTACCAAAACTAGCCAAACACATATAAAAATTGAAAAACCAAATAAATAAGGTTCTTTCTCTCAAAGAATCACATACAAAAATCTCCTTCCATGTTTTTAAGCATGATTAGCAACATTAGATGCAAGACAGAAAGGAAATTTTGTGGATGAGGTAGCAAATAAGGTGATGAATTACAAAAGAAAAATACAATATTCCAAAAATCTAAGCAAAAAAGAAACTTTTTCAATGGTATAGTTGAAATTCATTGAAAACAAATAGATAAGTCAATATACAAAATTTGAGTAAGATTGGAGGTGATTTGAACTGGTTTTGTATCAAAATTCGTAGTTAAATCGAGTTCAAAAAATTCTTCTGCGACACATGTATCAAACATGTATCACACATGTATCTCACAAACAGGTATACATGTGATACACAATTGATACAAGTATGATACATATATGATACACAATGTGATAGACAATTTTTTTTCATGTTCAGTTTTTACTTCGAATTTTCAATTCAAACTTCCTCAAAACTTCACCAAATCATCCCAAATTTGAGATTCAAGCTCTTTAAGATATACCCAATCTATTCTAATAACACCCACTCAAAAGAAAGCAAAAAATTGACATTTTTTTTGCTACAAATAGCTAATTGGCTAATATTAGTAATATTTTATGAATTGGACAATTTTTATAATGAGCTACTGATAAAAGAACATAGCCGGTAGTTTCCCTGAATAAAAAGCTTATAGAGACCGACAGCAATCCATTTTTTTATTTTATTTTTCCCCAAAAAAATCGATCGATGTACATTTTTGTTTATCTTGTCTTACAATGTTACTAGACAATGATCAACTTAACTTTGACTTTAGATAACAAGACATTTTAATTACGACAAAGAAATTTTAATTTTTCCTGATCCTGCGATGACTTCCTTGTCTCAACTATGTATAAGTAAAAAATAAAAAAATATTTTTTTCATACTAGAAATTGACTGTTTTTCTACTTTAATATTCAGCCGTATGTGTGACTGACTTTTCATCACACTTTAAAATTTTCGTTTCCAACATCCAAAAGGATACAAACCATAAAGTGCACAAAATAGCAGTTCGTGAAAAACTTGGCATCAAAACGATCGAAAGATTTGATAAAATGGTTGGGATATATTCATTACGCTTAAGTAAATTTCAAGTTCGAGCTTTAAAATAGAAAAAAAAAAATCTTTATTCTTTTAGGTACTTTACCTAAAGCGAATTTGAGAAGACCGATTAATTCATGTTTATCTACTACTATCCATGTGGAGAGGAAAGAAACGTCTGATTACAGCTACAAAATTTATGTTGTACGTGAGTTAACTCCTATGAAATTTGAAACTAAACGCCTCAAAACTTTTCTTCTCAACATTAAAGTCAACGATAAATTAGGCAATATTCTCCCTAAGTATCTAATAAGGAATTTGCATTATTATATTCCCTAGTTACGGTGAAAATTCTCTTGAATCTGACACTTTTCTTTTTCATCTTTCCTCATAAAGAAATGATTCTCCTAATAAAATCCTCTCGAGGGAATATATTTAGGCACTCAAGAATCTGGACAAAAAGATTTTCTCAAATTTTATTAATTTAATAAGAATTTTTGGTTTGTCTAAAAATAAAGAGTAGCAAAATATGTGAGTGGCCTTTATAAATTATAAGCTTCATTTTCCTAATTCATCTTAATTATAGGAATTTCTCATAAGGTAAACCTCCAATAATGCTCTAATTCTTTATATATATATATATATATTCCATCTTTTTTTCTCTAGTCAATGTGTGTAGAATTAGTCCTTTATAAGTAAAGAGCTTAATTCAAGAAAATGCAGTTTCATTGTGACAATTGTCATGAATTAGGAGGTTTCCCTTGTTTTTTTCCCCATTGTGGGTTTTTGTCTCTTAGTTGCCGTTTGGACATAAGAATTGTAAAATTTCGAAATATTTGAAAATTAAAGTTGTGTTTATACATGAATATAATTTTGGGCTGTTTGAATTTTTGTGAGTGATTTGAAGTGATACTTTGAAAAATAGATTTTTGCAGTTATTCAAATTTTTGAAAAAATTCGAAATTCATCTTCAAGTGAAAGTCAAAAATTTCATAGTCAAACACTGATTTCGAAAAAAAAAAAATCTTTTTTATGGCAAAACGGGCCCTACTACCTTCCACACTTTCCTTCCTTTTTCCTCCCCTCTACTTAGCCATATAAATACCCCATGTGTACTCTTTGTTCCAACTCCCAACTCTTCTAATTCCTTCCTTATTTTTCTTGTTTAATTTGATCACAACTTAGTTATACATATTTCTAAAGTTATAATGATAGAGTCTTGGAATCCTCCTCTTTTACATGACTACTCTAAGCTTTCGCGACGAAGCAGTCATGACGATGGTGGGACAAACCACAGCGCGAAGCTGATAATGGAAGAGTGCGAACTTCCGTTGATAGATCTCAGCGGTCTGAAAAGTAAGGATGAGAGACAAAAGATTAGTTGCGAAAACGCCATAGCTAAGGCTTCATCTGAATGGGGTTTTTTTCAAGTTGTGAACCATGGTGTGAGTCTTGAATTACTAAGGAAAATGAGGAGAGAACAAATGAAGTTATTTAAGGCACCTTTTCAAATGAAAGCTAATTGTGGGATTTTAAATAATTCTTATAGATGGGGAAATTCAACAGCTACTTGTCCTAAGCAATTTTCTTGGTCAGAGGCTTTTCATATTCCTTTGACAAAGATTTCAGAAGCTGATTGTTATGGAGAGTTCACAACTTTAAGGTAATTATCTATTAGATAGAGATTAATTTTATCGCCTCTAGTTCAATTCTAAAAAAAGAAAATAATTAGAGGCGAACTCAGAATTTAGAATAAATAATTTCAAACTGGATTCAAAGACAAAACCTTGTTAAGCTTAGGTAGTTTCACCTTGTCTCATTCAAGTTTGGCATTCTCGTTCTCCTTTTATTTTTTTCATCACTCTTTACTACTTTGTCTAGTTCTTTTCCCCCTCTAACATTTACAAGAAATAGATTACTTATTTTAATTATTATGGGAAATATTCTTCATAAAAGTACACATGCACATGCAAACTATGTATATACTATGTAAAAAGAGAGAATATAGTAGGAATATTATATAAAAATTAAAGGAAACTTTTATATATGTGCACTTTCTTTTCTTCCATTGTATGTTTCACACTTTCACTTAATATTTGTTGGGGGGGGTTTGTGGGGGTGGGGGGGGGGGGGGGAGGGGGGGTGATGGGAGGTTGTCCATAAGTAAATAGTAGAAAAGGATATGGCCTTGTAGTAGGATTTTCGGATCGGAGTTATATATACTAACAATGTAAAGGATTTTTACACTCAGTAACATCTAACCGTATCGGTTATAGTAGGTTATTATTGTATCTTTTAGGTTATGATATCAAATAATGCAAATAAGAGTTACATACTATTACAGACCAACTCAACCTGGTTAGATAAAAAAAAATTAGTTGTTCAATTTTAATGTTATTCTCAATTCCATCTCTGACCGGGTCCTTGATTTCAGGCCCTTTCGAGGAGGGTACGTATTTTTTTGGTTAATATCAGCCCGGCTTGCATGGACTTCCGGTCTTTCTTAGTTGACAACTTTATTGCAATTTTCACTTCTCTAGTTACTGCTGCACAAGCACCTACTCAGACAAGAAGTCCCATAATTTACAACTCTTCTTTCTATAGTAATTCGATCTATTGCTCTGCATCTTCTCATCAGTACTGTTAGTGCATAGAACTCAAATTTTCCAGTCAAATATATAATGTCTCTTCAAAAAAATTGTTTATAGGGAAGTGATGGTGGAATATGCAGCTGCAATGCAAGACCTAGCCAAATCACTTGCTGGAGTTCTTGTAAGAAACTTAGGTCAAAAAGATAATATAATGAGAGAAATTTGCAATGAGAATTCATGTTTTCTTAGACTCAATCACTATCCACCTTGTCAAATTTCTCCAGAAATATTTGGATTAGTACCACATACAGATAGTGATTTTTTGACCATTTTACATCAAGATCAAGTTGGTGGACTTCAACTAATGAAAGACTCCAAATGGGTAGCTGTCAAACCTAACCAAAATGCACTTATTGTCAACATTGGAGATCTTTTTCAGGTACACTTTAACTTTTTTTCTTTTTCTTAATCACTTTTGTTTTTGGAAATTAATGGATCAAAATGACAAGTGAGGATGACTTGTTTAGAGTATCTCATGATGATATCTCCTAAAGCGAAATAGGCATGCGCACATGTATAGAGTCTGTCTGAGTCGTGTGACCTCGGATAACGCCTAATTTAGTATAGTACCTTACCTTCAATCGATTGATGGTCTCAAGTTATAAGGAAGTGAAGGAAATAATAATTACAAGAAAGAAATCTCTTGCTTGGTTTATAAAATAAAAAATAAAAAGTATTTTGGGTAGTTTTGTTTTGAGTTTTATTTTTTAGTATTTTGCAAGTGACAAAAGTGAAAAATATTTGTTTAAACTATCTTTATTCTCCCTTAAAAGTCACACTTAATTAACACTAAAAAAACATTTATTGCAAAAAAAAAAAAAAAAAACAAATTGTACAAGCAAATGATAGTAGTTTTTTTGTTTCCAGAAGATATTACTCCTCTATTCAAAGAGGTGAAAGAATTGAATATATCAGGGTCACATTGTCTAATTCTTGGATTGATTTTGATTTTTGAACACCGATTTGATTTTTCTTAAATAGTAAAACTTTTATATTTGAAAACTACAATAAAAAATAGAAAATGTCATTATCACCTTTTTATATAAATAATTAAAAGTCCATTTTCTTTATAAATGTTTTTTATTGGTCAAGAAATGACGAAACCAATGTCAAAGAATCCACTTTCTTTTTCACCAATATTCTCTCCAATTGCCAGAGTCGCTTATGGTCTCATTTTGTCACTATATAAAATTAAAAAAAAAAATATATCATCAGCCAGATAAAAAGCAACGTATAAAAAATAAAATAATTTTGGCATGTTATATTTGTCCAAGAATTGTACCCAACAAAGTCAATTCCTTCTTCATCGATAAAAATAACACGAGTATTTTGTCCATACTTCGCCCAAATGGAAACACTTATTTTCTCTTTGATTGGTGGCTATCTCCAAATCATCACCAAATTTTTGCATTTAATTAGTAAAATAATTAAAGTGCGCATTGTTTTTAAAAAATAATTTTTGCAATAGTCGCACAAATTCTATCTTTCCTTTTTGTCCTTTACTTTAGTTAAAAAAACATTAACTAAGATGTTTTTGTAGTTGTAATAGTCGTTGTAATTGGTTCAGGACAGATCCAGCCTACATAAGTTCATCCGCACTCAATAATTTTGGCTTGAATGTTACAAATTACAAATTTTCAACTCGCATTAATCAAATATATTGTGTTAAAATTCCGAATTCGAACTCACAAGTCACAATATTCAAATCTTGTATATTCCTCTGAATCTGCTAAGAATATCTTTGTTCTTTTACTAAAATACTAGTACTATATATTTTTCATTAATAGACAAATTACATTGATAATTTACAATGTTAAAATAATTAATAAATGCAGGCTTGGAGCAACGATGTGTATAAAAGTGTGGAACACAAAGTGATGGCTAATGGAAAGATGGAGAGATTCTCAATAGCTTATTTCCTTTGCCCTTCTTATGATTCTTTAATTGGAAGCTGCAAAGAGCCTTCTATTTATAGGAAATTCACTTTTGGAGAATACAGATATCAGATTCAACAAGATGTCAAATTGATTGGACACAAAGTAGGCCTCTCAACATTTCGTCTATAGCATTTTACACATATAAGAGCAAAGAAAAAGAAAACATATATTTGAGGCCTAAGATCCTACAAGAAAATCACAATTTTGAGGAAGTTGGTACAAGAAAAGTTTTTTGTTGTATTCCATTCGTATATATATATGTGGATCGATTCACCAATATAATTTTAAAATTTAAGGTAGAGGAAAGTAAATGAAGACGTTACGTCATAGGCGCGTACATTAGAAAGAGAGAATGAAGATTACTTCTGTACTATGTTGTTCACTTGTTTGCAATTGTTCTAAGTTTGATGAATAAATATAAGAGTTACGTTAACCATCCCTATTGTTTAACCTTTCACTATGTTATATAGATTCCTAAAATTTCTACTTCCATCATTTAGACACTTTCAAATTGTTACATTTCGCCAGGCCAGATCCATAAATAAAGATATATCCAAACCTATATGGTCATTGAGGATTCATATAATTGACACCAACTTACTTGACACTGAACTGCTCTAGAACAAGATCCATAAATAAAGATATATTCGAATTAACATGGTCAGTAAGGATTCATACGATTGGCTCCAATTTGTTTCACACTGAGGCGCTCTAAAACAAGATCCATAAATAAAGATATATCAGTAACATGGTCAATAAAGATTCATATAACCAACTCCAGCTTGTTTGGCACGAGGCATAGTTGTTTTTGTAAAGATCCATCCGAATTGCCCGACCAAGAGATGTATTAAACGAAAAGCAATCACAAGGTAGATTAAGCCACTCATTTACATAAAGGACCAATTGATTTCAGATCATCAAAACTTGCTATTTCATGCATTTTACAGTCCTGTCTCAGCTATCATAAAATATCAAGCAGGCCACCTACTTATAAATGAAACTTGAGAACAACCACTTGCCAGATTACAATTAGAAGCGGATCCAGGATTTAAACTCTATGAGTTTAATTTTTAAAGTTTTTAGCATTGAACCCATCATAATTTTAAAGTTATGGAGTTCATATCTACTATATATTTTTGCAATTTTAATGGATTTTTACATATAAAATCTTACTCCGCATCAAAAGTTATGGAATCTGAACCGGTAGTTAATACACTACATCCGCCACTGGCCACGAGGCTGTATGTGGTCCCGAGCCCGGGCCTAAATGGGCTAAACGGGCCGGGCTAAACGGGCCTGGGCTTAGCGGTCCCGGGCTCTGGCGGTCCCGGGCTTCGCGGTCCCGGGCTTCGTGGGCTCAACGGGTAGGACCAGCCCGTGACGGGCCTAAGCCCATATGGCCCTGGGCTAAATGGGTCGGGCTCGTGGGCTTAGCGGGCCTAACAGGCTTTTTTTATTTCCGGGCTTTTTTTTTTAATTTTTTTTATTTAGGGCAATTTCTTGTAAACCATATGTGTATATATATATATAAATTGCTCTTATGCATGGCTATATAAATATATGTGGTATATATAATATAGAAATCTAATTATTAAAGTGTTTGACGAAAATGTAAAATAACAAATCAATAGTAAAACTAAATTGGCATGCATAATAAATTAATAACAAAGTACAACATGAAGCATAAATACGTCTAATAATTTTAAAATAATACAAATTGTTGAAAAATCTTAAAGACGAATTTGCGGATACATACCCTCAACACAATACTTTATATGCCTCCTTAAAATGCCTGTGGTACACCCTGAACGAAAATTTAAGACTCTTTCACAGTTCTTGCACTTTAATATTTGGCCTTCTTCATTTTCTTCAAGCACTTCATAGTATTGCGACACAAATAAGCGCACTCTTTCCGAACGAGGCATGATTTAACTTGAAAATTGAGATTGAGACTTGAAGTCTTGAAAATTGGAGATTGAGAGATTGAGAGAAATTTAGATTGAGAAATGAGTATTGAGTATTGAAATGAAGAAGAGGGAGGGGGGTACTTATAGTGTTAGAGAAGGTTAGTTTTCGTAAATTTACAAAAAAAAACGGCTATTTGTGCAATTAATATGACCGTTGGTGGTCATTGGGGGTGGGGCCCTCATTTTGAAAAATCTTGTTTTGTAGTATATATAGTACTACTTCTTCATGTAAATATAATATATATAGTATACTAGTATAGTATACTAGTATAGTGTACTATATATTGTATGTTATGTATATATATTCCCTTATATATTTTCTTGTAGTATATATTGTATGTTATGTATATATATTCCATTATATAATTTGTTGTAGTATATATTGTATGTTATGTATATATATTATAGCTTATAAATAATTGCAAGTTAAAGACAAAAAAATATTGCGAAGAGATATTCAAGGCCAAGGGTATGTTTTATAATTTTTATTACCAAAAATGGCATATCTTTCTTAGTCTTCTTCCCCCCAATGGAATGAGCACAACAAGGTACTAATACCACCATATAACCAACTCCAGCTTGTTTGGCACGAGGCATAATTGTTTTTGTAAAGATCCATCCGAATTGCCCGACCAAGAGATGTATTAAACTAAAAGCAATCACAAGGTAGATTAAGCCACTCATTTACATAAAGGACCAATTGATTTCAGATCATCAAAACTTGCTATTTCATGCATTTTACAGTCCTGTCTCAGCTATCTTAAAATATCAAGCAGGCCACCTACTTATAAATGAAACTTGAGAACAACCACTTGCCAGATTACAATCAGAAGCGGATCCAGGATTTAAACTCTATGAGTTCAATTTTTAAAGTTTTTAACATTGAACCCATCATAATTTTAAAGTTATGGAGTTCATATCTACTATATATTTTTGCAATTTTAATGAATTTTTACATATAAAATCTTACTCCGCATCAAAAGTTATGGAATCTGAACCGGTAGTTAATACACTACATCCGCCCCTGGCCACGACATACGTGTCTAAAGAATCAGTGTGATGTTTGATCACATTGATAAATAGAAATTTCTGTATTCAATAAGATCATCACATGTTCTTCATCAGCAGGATGAAGAATGCGATTTCACTCCCATAGCCAACTCTGACATAAAATTATGGTACAGTTGACAAAAATATAATGCACAGCTATTGAGGCTTCTTTCTCTGAGTCCATTCATTTACATGGAAAAACAATTTTTCGTATAACTGGGAATCAAGTTCTCATAATTACTGTACAACGACGAGATAAAGAAAATACTACTATGAAGAATCTACAAATAAACAAATACTCTCTCGAGGGATTTATAAGCAAACAAGTGAATGCTTGGGTGAAATTAGATAAATTATATTATTCTTCCAAATCCTCTACCTAATTACCTTCACAACTATTAGTCAAGAAGCAGAGCTACCTTGTCCTTGAGACTGCTCTTCTTCTTTACCAATACTGGCTGACCCTCAGAAGGTTCGATCTGCTTTTTCTTGTTTAGATCGTAAGCTAAACTCATGTCTTCTCTAACTAGTTCAACCCTCCTCTCCTCATGAGTTTTCTTCAACAACGGGCCCAAAAACACATCCAACATATCTTGGGTAGGATTCTCGGACATGTTAAGCTTAGGAGGAGCATCTTCAATTGTTGTCTGAATTGAAATACAATCAGAATTTCTTTCTTCTCTTCTCAAAGATTGATTATTGACTTCAGTGCAACTTAAAGAGCCTATTGACATGGAAATAGCATCCTCCACTGGACCAATTTTTCCTTTGCCTGATGCAGCTTGCTCATTCTCATTCACATACTGCCAGGGAAGGAAAAATAAGATAACAAACAAGGTCTCATATTTACTACAGAATTGAAACAGCTACTTTTTATACCAAACAACAAGAGCCCTGAGACTATATATATCTTTTACAGATCATTCAATGAGATGCCACAGATTAATAGCCTAGTTCCCTGTTTTAAATAATAATCGAAGTAGTTCCTCTAATTTTAAATAGCAAGTAAAGCTTTAGTAAATAATTCTGATGATCCGAAACAAATAGGATTTAAGTAACAACAATCACCTCCTTAGCAATGCTCAGTAAATCTTCAACAGTCAAATCTTCATCAGAATCACCTGCATACTGCAAAAATGAACAGTAAAATCATCTGAGATACCACATTCTGGCCAAATGTGAACATTACTTTTAGATGGCAAAACTGAAGAATTGTTTAGGAGACCTCAAGAGAACTTAGCAGATCACCTCTTCCTCTATGCTCAGTAGATCTTCTACAGTTAAATCATCATCATCTGTTTTTGGTGTCGACTCTTTAATATCAGCACAATTCTCATTCCTGGAAGTTTTTACTTTCTGTTTCTGCCTCCTTAAACTAGGGCCAGCTTCATTAGAATTTTCCTTCAGGCTGCTGCATTTTCTCTTCCTTAAGCCACTTCTACCATTTGCTTTTGCTGTTGCCTCTTCCATCTTAGCACCTCCCTCAATCTTGGAATTCGTCGTTGTTTGTTTCTGTCTCCTCAACAAAGGCAACGGTCCATTACCATTTACCTTCATCCTGTCACATTCACTCCCCATTAGACCGCTTTCATCATTACAATCATCATTTGGTAGGTTTAACTTTCTTCTGCTTCTTTTTGTTGTCTGGCATATTGAAATATGTGTGGATGATTCCCCGGTGAATGCTTCCTTTTTGTCCTTAGTCTTTCTGTTTTTCAACCTGCTGCGCTTCTGGGTGACAATCTCCCCCTCTGTATTATTATTACTGTCTACATGATCAGTTTTGACTTTTTCCTTTACTTGATCAGCAGCAGACGCAGCAAACATCCACTGAGGCAACTGCCTTTTTTGACCCTTGTCAAGAACAATCCGATCATCCATTATTTCTTTTGTTTTTCTTTTGCAGAAATACATCTAGTAAATAAATTTCCTGTAAAGTTAAAGCTACTCGGTCGACAAAAAGGGAGGACGCTTAGAATATTCAAGCTAAAAGCTGTATCAAAAACAACTCAATCAGCTTGCACCAGCTTATACATAGTGGCGAAGGGAGACAACTTTCATCAGCTCGGGATATATTTTGCCACTAAAAAGAATGATTTGAGCATTCACCTTCCTCAAAATGCACCCTATAAAAATAGACAAAAGAAGAAAATGAATTCTCTTTCGGATGATGAAGCTTCAATCACAAACTTTGGGCTTTATTATAGGAAAATTCCATATGAA